ATGCAGGTGACATTTATGGAATAGGACTAAATATATATATATATGCTTTAGATTAAAATATAGTCCATTATATTTTAATGTATTATGTACATTAAAAATGTATTTAATGTATTAGTGTTGTGTTCTTAGTGACTGAGCCCCTAAACTATAAAAACCTTAACTCTATAAAAACCTTCATAAACCAAGGTTTGTCTTTTATATTACATTTAAGCTTCACCACAATGAGTGCAATAAACTTTTAGTATATACTTTTTCCAAGCAAAGAAAAAGTCTTAGCTTCTGACCTCAGTTCTCATCTTGTTTTATTTCTCTGGAAATCTTCATGAATTTTTAGTTTAATTACTCCAAGCAGATGTTCAGTTCTCTTATTCTATGGTAGGAAACAGCAGAATGAAAGGAGATACTTTAGAAGAGTTAGAGTTTGGTGGTATCTATGAAAATAGATTAAACAAGGGGACATTTGGAAGTTACTTCAAAGATGCAAAGTACATGTTTAAATTGAAATGGAAAATTATTAAAAATATTCTTAAGATTATATTTGTGAAGAAAAATGTTAAATGGGAGTCACCAACTTAAGTATTTAAATATGTTTTTGAGTTCATAAAAATAAACTCAGGCATTTTCATCTTATTTCTCAATTTCTTGTTACTGGGTTTCACAAACAAGGTTGAACAAAATATGCTTCGGTTAAGGCATCAGAGCAAGACTAAATTGTAATATGTGGACAATGATTCATTCATTTATTTCTGTGTTATGTATTTCATGTAAAATATGCATATTTTTAGGATTTGGTTAAAATGTCTAGAGCTTGATGTGGACTGAGGGGATGAGTATGTTATCTAAAAGCAAAGCAGTCCTTCCAAATTTTTCATGTTGGAAATGCCAAAAAAGTATAGAATATTTAATACAGAAAGGCAAGCATGAGGAGGATTCTGAATGTTGACATCACATTCAGAATAACAAGAAATTAACCTCAGAAAAGGTTTCCCTGGTGGCTCAGACAAAAGAATTTGCCTGCAATGCCAGAGACCCAGGTTCGATCCCTGGGTCAGGAAGATGCCCTGGAGAGGGGAATGGCAACCCACTCCAGTATTCTTGCCTGGAGAATCCCGTGGACAGTGGAGCCTGGCAGGCTATAGTCTGTGGGGTTGCAAAAAGTCAGGACACGACTGAGCCAGTAGCACTTCACTTCAACTTCAGAAAGATTAGACAAAAAAAGAAAAAGAAACAGGTTGTGTTCTGTGCCTGAATGAGTTGTAGAATTATGTTATTCACCATAATGGAGATCAGATGTGCCTGCTTGGATTTATGGGGATGCACATTCAGATAATCAGACTCTCAAATGGTTCTATAATAGAGACATATGGTGGTTGAAAATGTCCTAATAATAGGAGGGTTGATATGGAAAAATGGCATTTCCATTTCTCTCTATGGAAAGATTATAAATTAACCTGATATTTTATATGTTTATGTTTGATTTGCTTCTATATTTTCTCTAATAGTGTCATGCAAAACTGTTCTTACCTCCTTAAAATAATGTTTATGTATATATAATCATATGGAAATGTTAATTGGACCTATTATGGTGGCTGTATTTCTAAAATTAATGTAGTGTTATATGTTAATTATACCTAAAAAAAAAAAAAGATTGTTGTCACAATTAGCTGGGTTGATGTGTATAATATTCATGGCACAGTGCCTGACCAAGGATGGGCAATCAGTTAACTATTCATCAAATGACTGTTTTCACCCAGGTATAAAGAGAGGCTTAAAGGGGTGTCCCACAGAAAAGTGAATGATGTTAGGTATGAAATCTAGATGAATTTGTTTTATATGCTTCTCTTTCACAAGGCGGTTTTGTTCTAATCAAACCTCAAGAGAATAAGGGCAGAAAAATCTTAAAGCAATCCTTTTCAAATTTTACCTGCATACAGATCACCCAGGGGTCATTTTAAAACGCAAGTCACAATTTATGGGTGGGAACTGAGAGACTGCATTTCTAGCAAACTCCAGATTGTGCGTATGCCACTGGCTGTCCGCTGAATACACCTTAGCACAGTCCTTGAGCAGTGGAGTAGATGGCCACTGAAGAAATACTGTACTTAAACCCATATTCGTCTAGTCCAACCTTCAGTTAACTAGAACAGTAACTTCAGGTTAGTTAATTTATCTGTTTACGTAGCAGATTATTTCATGTCTACTAGGTGCCTGGTGCTCTTTGGGTTCTAAGTATAATATAATGAGCAAGGCAGTTAAGAATCATGCCCTTATCAAGCTCGTACTCTAGAAGCAGGATCAGATACTAGATATGTAAACAATTCATTACAATAGTTTCTAGTGAAATTAGAAAATGAGGCTTTAAATTATTAGACTTGCTCACTAGTGAGTAAGACTCACTAAAATGAAAATAAAATGAAGCTACTATGAAATTGTATCTGGCCAGTCCCTGATAGCTCAATTGGTAAAGAATCCTCCTGCAATGCAGGAGACCTCGGTTCAATTCCTGGGTTGGGAAGATGCCCTGGAGGAGGAAATGGCAACCCACTCCAGTACTCTTGCCTGGGAAATCCCAGGGACAGAGGAGCCTGGTGGGCTACAGACTATGGGGTCGCAAAGAACTGGACAAAACTGAGTAACCAACACTTTGACTTCACTTTCTTTCATAGTATAAACCTAAGAGATATACAATTTTAACCTTTTTTGCTTTTTGAATGCTTTTTTTTCAACTTGTGTCCCACATCTTATGTTGGCTCTTTTTCACTCATCGTTTTTGGTTTAGTTATATATTAATATATTTTCCTGTAGTTACGTTCCTTCTAGAGTGTCCTTAACCCTCTGTGGAGCCCTAAAGATCCGCTTTGGAGCCGACCGCCAAGATTTCAGCGTTTAGTTTCCTGCATTGTATGCAAATTCTTTACTGCTTGAGACACCAGGGAACTCAGAGTTATGCTTATGCAACAGAAATATATTACTTATGTCATCCAAATTAATGTAATAACACACAGGTAGCAGTCTCTCCTCAAATGCTACTGAATGAATTCAATTTTTCTGAGTAGAAATGATTAGGTAACTATTATAGAAAACAAAGCTGTAGCCCCAAACTTGCCTTACATTTTACAGATTATTAGAAACAAAAGTGGATGAAAGTAGATGAAACAATAAAAGATAGCAACAAGGAAACTAAAACATACGCAAGTCACTCTTTGCACTAACAAAAAAGTCTAGTAAACACAAGAGTCATCATTGTTAAATTATAAAATATTACATGCCTTGTACTAACAATTTTCATACTCTATCATATAATATATCATGTCCTTTATTGGGATATAAGCCTAACTCAAAAGAGATCTCACAGATCAGAGTAACTAAAGGAGAATGAATGATGTAATGATGACTCAGCTTCATTTTAGTGAGTCTTACTAGTGAGCAAGTCTAATAATTTAAAACCTTGCAAACTAGTGATTGTTAACATGTAAGTGCATTATAATTGACTTTTGATTTTGCCTGATGAATATGTTATTTTTTTAAAACATTCTTTTTTTTTCCTTCCATTTATTTTTATTAGTTGGAGGCTAATTACTTTACAATATTGTAGTGGTTTTTGCCATACATTGGCATGAATCAGCCATGGATTTACATGTGTTCCCCATCCTGATCCCCCCTCCCACCTCCCTCTCCATCCCATCCCTCTGGGTCTTCCCAGTGCACCAGCCCTGAGCACTTAGAGCATTTCCAATTGACTTCTGATTTTTTGTCTTGTTTTTCAAATACATGAATAAACCACTGTCCATTAAAACGATCCTCCTAATCCTCCATCAGTGACAAAACTGAGTTGTTTGCTTGTAATAATGAACAAAGGCAAGATTAGTCACCTTTTCTCATCTGAATGCATAATGCCTTAAAGCACACATTTCTGATATACTCATCCAGAATTATGGATATATTCTGTGGAAAAATAGCAGATTAATTTTGCTTGTTTGTATATTATTTTCCCCTGTTTGAATGACCTCATTAGCTCCTCTGCTACCAGCTATGCAACAGAGTTCAGACTTTTTTCATACTGTATTTTGATCATTTATTTGTAATTATTCTAGATTTCTTTGGCATTTATTAACAGCAACAATATTTTCTTTCTCATTGGCCTTTTGTATATCTCACTTCACTCACTCAAAAAAACACAAATAAGTGCCAGACTCTAGGGCTTTGGGGTAACAGGAAGAGTGAAGTGAGATGAAGCTAGAAAAGGAAGCAAGAGCCACGTGGTTTGAAGTCTTATAAACTTTTGAGAAATGTAGCCTTTATCTTAAGTGCAAAAGGAAACTACTGAAGAGTTTTAAGCACTGGAGTGGCAACATCTTACTTCTGCTATTTGCATACCTTGTTTTTTTTACCCCCTTACCAAATGGGACCGCTTTAGCCAGTGGTTTTATAATACTGTCCTACTATTTATGCTTCCTGTCTATTTCCAGGTAACAAAGTCATCTTTAAATGAAAGAAAAAGGTTGCCAGGTGTACAAAAATAAATTCCCTGGGAGACACAAGAGTTTACAAATAGCGACGATGAGTTGGTTTCATGAAAACAAATGGTGCATGCTATGGATAGAATCATTATTTGTGAATGATGGCTCATCTCCAACAATTAAATAAAGGGGGTAGACATATTTCACTAATGTTCTTTATTGCAGAGATTAATATCTATAAACATCATTTCCTAGGCAGGTATTACAGCATAAAATACTTGAAGCAATGTGTTTGATCTACACACCTAAGCACTGATAATAAAAAAGCCTCATTTGGGGATCTATCTGTTTATTCATTCCTGGTATTCTTTTAACATCTGGCTGTAATAGACAGTGACTTTTTTTTGTTTGTTTGTTTTTTGGCTTTTAACAGAGAACAAAAGGAAAGTAAGCTAATTAATTCTGGTGCCCATCTGGTTTCAATTGCTCATTTTACATTATTTTAAAATGATGGACTGTTGGTGATGATGTCTTCCCCAGGAGAAGAAGTTGACAGACAGCTGTGCAGAGACGCCATCTTCCCCATCCCTGTTGCCTGCGATGTGCCCTGCCCCAAGGACTGCGTGCTCAGCATGTGGTCAGCGTGGTCCTCCTGCTCTCACACCTGCTCAGGAAAAACCACAGAAGGAAAACAGATACGAGCACGGTCCATCCTGGCCTATGCAGGAGAGGAAGGTAAGGTTACCAGCTTCAGAAGGGACTCGGATCTCTTCCAGAAGCTGGTGTCCATTTCATTATGTGTACAGCCCAGATGCAGTGATAGGTTCCACAAAAATCAGCTTCCTGAAACCCAGCAAACCAAGGAGATTTAATATCTGGTGACATATTAGGCAGCTTGCTCCTGTTCCTTAATATTAACCTTGAACATAGATCTTCAGCAAAAGAGAAAATACTGAAAAGTGAATTCACTTTTCCTTTCCTCCCTCTTCATAACTCAGGTTCTTTCTACTTCAAAGTGTTACACTTGTGGAGAAATTTGAAAATGACTCCTGAAATTCTGAATGTCAGGTTTCATTGTTTTCTCTCTATTTCAGTAGTCAGTTTTCCCCAGTGAAATCCTGTTATACCTTCTCATAAATACTAAACTGTATTTAAAATAATCACCACCGTGACTATTGCTTGACTGAAAATGACATGGATTTTCTACCATTCAGGTTTCTGAACATAGGCCCTGAGTCTCATATGTAGATTGTGTTCACTTTTAAAATATGTTGCTCCTAAATCACTTCATGCTATTGGGTGAGTAAAGCACAAGCTTTTCATATATTCATACCATGCAAGCCCCATTGTCAGGAAATACAAGGCTCTTGGTAATTGTCTCTCAAGTTTGTATCTGAATGCTAATTTGGCCTCTGTGTGACTGGGTGATATAATGTCATACTTCATCTTGTCATTCTGGAACATAACACAGGGGTAAGGAAAACACAGAAATAAGGCGAGTTCTGTCACATGTCGCGTGTTCTGTCTCAAGAATATAGGCATACGTTATTTAAATATTATCAGGCTCAATGACTGTTTTCATTCACATTTAACACTAGTTGATGATTTCTATTTGTAGTAAGCACATGTTTCTTTATGTATACCCCCAGTTAATCAATTTTAGAAGAGTTTTCACATTGCCCATGTCATTTTTCTGTTTATGAACCATTTTAATGATAGAAGTCTGCTAGTGTTCTTTTTTTAAATCAAATTTGCTTTCTTTGTATGTGATTCTGTGCAAAAATATAAGGCCAAAAATATGTTGGCCTTAAGGCATAGGAGAAAATTTAACATATTTAAAATAGTCAACCTATGAGAACATTTAGAATTTTTTAAGTGTCCAAACACTTTTGTCTTGTCACCTCAATATAAATGTAATTTTTTGCTACCAAAATAAGAATGTATCTGTGGAACCCAATAGAAAAAATAGAACCTTTCCAAGAAAAAATTATATTCCTTATGTTGTCAAACAATAACTCTAACCTTGTATAGATCATATTCAGACTTCACACTCTATCAGCTCGAATTATGTCTTGGGCTTCATTAAAATTAAATCTGTGGTCACCCTGCTTCCTGTAAATCCATTATACTCTGCAGACACTTGCTGTGTGACTAGTAATGAGTGACTTTTCGCCCCAGGAGTCACATGGCTGAGATTCTGCCATGCTTGCAGAACTCACCAGATCATTATTTCCGTAGACATGATGCTTCACACTGAAAGGTCATGAAATGCTTTAAAGGCAGGAATTTATGACTGCTCTTTGGTATGTATCATCTGCTTAGTTTGAAAGGATGGGACTTGGATAATTTTTAATGAAGGCTAACAGCTGCATCATAAGAAACACGTGCTGGAGAATTATAAATGTGTAAATAGTTAATCATAAAGGTGAGGTGAAAGTTGCTCAGTTGTGTCCGACTCCTTGAGACCCCATGGACTATACAGTCCATGAAATTCTCCAGGCTGGAATACTGGAGAGGTAGCCTTTCTCTTCTCCAGGGGATCTCCCCAACCCAGGGATCCAACCCAGGTCTCCCACATTGCAGGCGAATTCTTTACCAGCTGAGCCACAAGGGAAGCCCGTGAACTCAAAACATCATTTTAAGTGGAAACTAGAGGAGATTCAGTCAATGGGGAATCTGCTGTTATTTGTCTCTGTTAATAACAGCTACAGAAACTGGTATCATTATGTGAAATATTTAATAAAGGATTTGTTTTTCAAAGACAATTTAATACCTGTTATTTGCTTGACACTGAAATACATTTTCTTTCCTTCAAAATAAGTCTTTTCTAATTCTGAAAATATTTTTTAAATGATTTAGAAACTAATTTGCAGGAAGTTTTAAAATACGTTTCCCTGCCAATTAGATAGCATTTTTATAATTCGGCACGAAAGCAATTTTTTCTATTATTCCCCCAAAATTAATACTTGTATGTGTCATGTGCGCATGTATCTAAGTCGTTTCAGTTGTTTCTGGCTCTGCAACACTGTGGCCCGTAGACCGCCAGGCAAGAATACTGCAGTGGGCTGCCATAGCCACCTCCAAGAGATGTTCCCGACCCAAGAATCGAACGTCTCCATCATTAGCAGATGGGTTCTTTACTGCTAGCGCTATCTGGGAAGCCTGATCTTAATTATCTGTGGATCAGAATGTTACTGTGATAACCTTAAGGGTAAAGATCACATTAATAAAATTATATATTGATTGTTTAGACATGAAATTAAATGATTTTCTGGTGAAATAACTTATAGGACAAGTCCATGTGCAAAGCATTTATCTGATTTTACAAAATAAATACTGTAACCTATTCATTTGTACTTTATCTCAGTAAAATGTCACCATTATACATTATACTGGAGATTATATAAACTCTGTATTGATGAGGTCAAAGTTGTACTGCAGTAAGCCCATAAATTCAGTAACTAAATAGAACAATTATTTTTCCCTCTTGGGAATTTTGCTACAGCGACAGGTAACTCTCCATGACAGTCTGTCCTCCATGAAATGTCTCAGCATTACACCTCGGTATGAAAGCCTACCTCACAATCTTCATGCCAGAGGAAGAAAACAGCTGGGGACTCTTACCTGTTTTAAAAGAGTCAGCAATTAAATTCTTTCATCCAGAGTGATTTATATCATTTCAGTTGACATTTCATTATCAAAGCAGGTCAAATAATCATGACTTGTATTTGAACCTAATTTCATCAGGGGCAGGGGAAATACATTTCTACTGTGTGCTGGAAAGAAAGGCATGCTGGCTACTGATCTTACCCCTGATTTATCAGTCTTCTTTAGTATATGTGTCTGTGTATCTACCGCTATGTCTGTATGTATCTATATCCATGTGTGTGAGATAGAGGAGTATTCCATATGACTCCAATGAACTAGACACACTCTCCACTGTTAAAATGTTATGACTCATTATTTCCTTATTCCTGTTAAAAGAATGGTAAAATAATAGAGTAGGACTTTTCTTTATCTCATGCTATACTTTCTTTTCCCTTTCCTTCCTGTCCTTTCTAGTCTCTTTAGCTCCCTTCATTGATAGTTTTATCTGCAAAGTTATTAAGTGGAGCCAAACAGTTGAGCATCTGTGCCAGCAGGGGGGCAGGAGGGGGGTCTGTAGTGATCCAGGGCGGGTTGTCAGAGCCCAGCCTGAGTGAGATGGGCATCCCCAGTGAGAAAAGGGCGGCCTGACGTGAAGTGTCTGAGACACTGAGAAGTCTAAACGGAGGGACACATGGATTGCGCAAGAGTAAAAGCAGTGACCCGACACAGGATGCCAGGGCAAAAGCAGGATGCAGAGGGAATCTCAGCATTGAGGAAACAGCCCAGTGCGGGGTGTCGGAGCCAGGCAGGGTGGAGGAGGTTTCAGTAATGTGGAGTGGTTGAATGCAGGAGTCAGAGTATGAGCCGGGTGATGACGAAGGCCCCTGGGTAGAGCAGTGAAGATGGCAGTGGGAGATTGGGGAGGGGGGTTGGTTGACCAAATAGGTACATGTATTAAACATAATAGTTGGGTTTCTTATTGCTAAAGAAGGGAGTTTTGAATATGTTAAGGAAGAAAACTAGAGTAAACCTTGTTGTATTATATTGGAATTTGAAGTTATCAGTGTGAATGCATGCTGTTCAATTTGTAAATCTAGACATAAAAGTGAAAGTGCAGTCGTTCAGTCGTGTCCAACTCTTTGCAACCCCGTGGACTATACAGCCCATGGAATTCTCTAGGCCAGAATATGGGAGTGGGTAGCCTTTCCCTTTTCCAGGAGATCTTCCCAACCCAGGGATCAAACCCAGGTCTCCCGCCTTGCAGGCGGATTCTTTACCATCTGAGCCCCAGGGAAACCCAAGAATGCTGGAGTGGGTAGCCTTCTCCAGGGGATTTTCCCAAGCCAGAAATTGAAGCGGGGTCTCCTACATTGCAGGTGAATTCTTTACCAATTGAGCTATCAGGGAAGTCTTAGACATAAAAATACATAAAATTCAAATATAAGTATGATATATATTCATATTATAGACATATACATGTGTTAGCTCTGTTCACTGAAATGACATGAGAGCAGTCAGTGCATTTAGCGCTGAGACCTTGATGTTTATTACCATTCTCCCATGAAAGGAGCCAGGGCTTCTTGGAGAAATAGCTGATTCTAGGGCTGGGATAGCAAAAGTACAAGATGTGCCTGGAGGATCTTGTGCCAGAAAGAAAAGAAGAGGAAAATATTTCAAAAGGTCACACTACTGTATATATAAAATAGATAACTAATAAGGACCTACCGTAGAGCATAGAGAACTCTATTCAATATTCTGTAATAATCTATATGTGAAAAGAATCTGGAAAAAAGTAGATATACACACACACACATATATATTACTGAATCACTTTGCTTTATACCTGAAGCTAACACAACACTGTTAACCAACTCTACTCCAATATAAAATAAAAGTGAAATTTAAAAAAGGTCAGGGAAGCTAGCTTGAAGAGTCTCCCACTGGCCACATACAAGAGCAATGTGAATGCAAATTAACAATAATAGCTACTTATATACATTAACTAAGATAGGAAACCATGAATCCATACTTGATATAAATAAATTAATTGAAAGTCTGATGAAGAGCATTATATTTACAGTCTTAAGTATCCTTATAATGAAGAAGTTTGACAGACACTGTGTAAAAGTTTACATCATCAGTAATGG